CTGCCAGCCCCAGTCCCATTTGGAGCTCCCTTGTGCTCAGGTAGGGACCCTGACCTCTCTGGGCTCAGATCCCAACCTGGGCACCTCCCTGTCAGTCACCCCCTGTCATGAGGATGTGGGTGGGGCCACGATGCTGAAGCTGGCAGAGAATGTTAAAAGCACTGTGGATCTGTCTTAGAAGTACGAGCCAGAATGAACGCTCCTTAGAGGCCTGGAGGGCGAGACTTCATCTCATGCACTTCGGACGTGCTGTCGGGAGACACCAGTCCCTGGAGAAGGGCATCGTGCTCGGGAAAGCCGTGGAAAAGAGGAGGGCTCTCAACACGACAGATTGACACCGTGGCTGCGACAATGGGCTCAAATTGTGAGGATGAGGGTGGTATAGGACGGGGCAGGGCTTCATTCGGGTGTGCACAGGGTCGCTGTGAGTCGGAAACGACTTGATGCCACCTAACAACAACAGTAACAGGATGCAAACAGGTCGCAGCAGCGCATCCAGACTGAGGAAGAGGAGGAAGAAAGGCCTGGCAACTTTCAAAACTCAGCCAATGAAAACTCTATGGTGCACCGCATTGCTGGTGCAGGGCCAGGCAGTGTTTTGTCCCTTTGTAGATGGGGGGCTATGAGTCAGGGCTAACTCGGGGCGGCTGACAACACCGATGTCTACATATTGAATAGGCATCGCCACACGTCTTACTTAAAAAGTGCTCATTCCAGACTCCCTGGCCATATGACTCTAAGTCACCCTCCATCCCTGGAGCTCAATTTTCAGCCCACCAGTAGACAGGGCCTGTAAGAGGAGCAAGGAGCCAGGGTGGCTTCGTGGTTACGCCACTGGGCTGTTAACTTCAAGGTGCAGCAGTTTGAAACCCCCAGCTGCTCCACAGTAGCAAAGATGAGGCTTTATACTCTTGCAAAGATTTACAGTCTTGGCAGAGAGGCCTAGGTCCTGGGCCTGCCAAAGTTGTTCTCTCTTTTTGAACCAGCAGCCATAGCTGCACACATGCTCTGCCAGATCCTCGGTCAGGCCACGCAGCACCTGAGTTTGAGCCTCTCCGTGTTTATTGAAGCCGGGGGCACTGGAGCAGCACCGTGTGCCATGCGTCCTGCATTGTGTCATTCAGATGTCAGTTGGGACAGAAACAATGAGCCAGGACCACGGGGTAAACGGGGCCCATGGACAATAGCAGATCTTCGCAGTGACTATGGGTCACAGCGAACTGAAGAAAGCAAGCCCGGACTTCGAAATGGAATGTTTTCCCATAGAGCTGCTCGGGGATGGAGGTCTTCCTGAAGTTCGCTGCCGTTTTCCACTGAACCAGGATCCATACTGTTATTCCCTAAATGCACAAAATC